CCTCGGCCTCCCAAAGTGCTGGGATTACAGGCTTGAGCCACCGAGCCTGGCCTAGCTTCCACTTCTTATGTAACAGTGTGTGGAAAGTGCTTGGCACTGCACTGAGCATCTAGGAAGCCCTCAGCAGAGGGAGGGACTGCCATCATTTTATTAGCAGCTTAGCACAGAAGGATGGGCAGTCAGCAGATCTCTGCTGAGCCAGGACTGCAGGGTCGTGGGATGAGGAGGGGGCAACTGTGTCCTAAGAGGCTGAGTTCATGGGCTGGGCAGCTTAGCAGGTTCCAGGGAGCCAAGTCCTAGGACAGGCAGCTCATGTCTTCGTATCCACGTGGCTTTCCCTGTCCCTGCAGGAGCTTTGGGGGGGAAGTGTCCTGGGACAAGTCTTTGTGCATTGGGGCCACCTACGACGTCACGGACTCCCGCATCACCCACCAGATTGTCGACCGGCCTGGGCAGCAGACCTCTGTCATAGGCAGGTAGGCCCCCAAGCCCCTCGTCTGGATTTCTGGGTGTCCGTCTCCAGGGCTCTGTGACGCAGTGGGACCTTGGGTGCTCTCCGTGACTCATTTTTGCCTGCCACTCTGCACCAGGTGCTACGTGCAGCCCCAGTGGGTGTTTGACTCAGTAAACGCTAGGCTCCTCCTCCCCGTGGCAGAGTACTTCCCTGGCGTGCAGCTGCCCCCACACCTTTCACCCTTTGTGAACGAGAAGGAAGGAGATTACATCCCACCTGAGAAGCTGAAGCTGCTGGCTCTGCAGCGGGGAGAGGACCCAGGTGAGCAGGATGGGACTGGGCTGGCCTTGGTCCTGGGGTCCAAGCTGGCTGTTTGCCATGGCTGCCAGGGTGGAAAGCTTCAGGGAACAGGCAGTAGGAGCTGAAAGCCCTTAGAAGCCACCAGTGGAGGAAGGCTTGGGAGAAGGGACATCTGCCCCCGGCAGTTAGGTGTTATTTGATGTTCAGGATAACTCAGCAGAAGAACATGCTGAGTTGTCATCAGAGTTTACATTGGACGCAACAGACCTCAAGACTGGGGGCCTTGGAATTTCCTCTGATGGCAGCTGGGCTGTGGGGAGGTGCCAGAAAGGGCCACAGTTGGGACAGCCCTGAACTGTCCATGGCTGAAGACGGCAGGGTCAGAGAGGATGGGGCCTGGACCTGTTGTCACCCTGCCAGGGAGACTGCATTCAGAGGTCATTGGCTGTCCCTAGGAAACCTGAATGAGTCGGAAGAAGATGAAGAGGACGATGACACCGAACGTGATGGTGATGATGGGGGAGAAAACGAGGAAGAGGAGGAAGATGCAGAGGCTGGTTCAGAAAAGGAGGAGGAGGCCCGGCTGGCAGCCCTGGAGGAGCAGAGGATGGAGGGGAAGGTAGGGCGAGCTGCCCCGGGGGCTCAGCCTGGGAAGCAGCCCCGCTTGGTGTCTGTCCTGGCCTAGAAGGGCAGGAGCCAGAGGACTGTTGAGGTCGGGGGGACCTGCCCACCCAAGCACCCTCCTTGTGTCCCCAGAAGCCTAGGGTGATGGCAGGCACCTTGAAGCTGGAGGATAAGCAGCGGCTGGCCCAGGAGGAAGAGAGCGAGGCCAAGCGCTTGGCCATCATGATGATGAAGAAGCGGGAGAAGTACCTGTACCAGAAGATCATGTTTGGCAAGAGGCGAAAAATCCGAGAGGTGAGTTCCTGCCACCTGCCTGAGACCTAGGTGTGGCCACCGGACCCAGCTGCACAGGCGAACTTAGGCAGCCTGGGGGCTTTGCCAGCCTTTTCTTGAGGTTGCCTGCCTGGCCTAGCCCAGCCTCAGGCCCCTGACCCAGGCCAGCGCAGGTGTCCTCGTACTGCCAGCTCCGTGCAGGCTTTCCTCAGGGCTCTGTCCCACCCAGCATCCTGCTTCCCGAGTCTGCCAGGCTCCGCCAACAGGGCCTTCCCGGCGGACTCGGGGACTATGGCCGGAGTGGGGGCGGGGTGGGCTTTTGTTAAGCTTCTCTCTTGTTTTTTCTTGTTCGTAAAGCCATATATGCTAATTTAAAATACAAACTCCTGTACCCCGGAACCCTGCGAGGAGTGATGCAGAGTGGCTCACAGCCCTGCCCTTGGAGTCGAGCAGCCTGTAGTTACAGCCGCCTGTAGTTAGTTACAGCCTCCAGGTTTCTCTTGTGCACATAATGACCCATGTTTGGGAGGTCGTGCTGGAGACTGTTTTGAGGTATAATTTTTTGTTATTTTGAGACAGTCTTGCTTTGTCATCCAGGCTGCAGTGCAGTGTCGCAGTCTCTGCTCACTGCAACCTCTGCCTCTCGGGTTCAAGCAATTCTCCTGCCTTAGCCTCCCAAGTAGCTGGGATTACAGGTGTGTGCCACCCACCTGGCTGATTTCTGTATTTTTAGTAGAGACGGGGTTTCACCATCTTGGCCAGGCTGGTCTCGGACTCCTGAACTCAAGCGATCCACCCACCTTGGCCTCCTAAAGTGTTGGGCTTAGAGGCATGAGCCACCGTACCCAGCGTGAGGTGTAGTTTTCATTTAACCGTCATATGGACTTCTCATCCAATACCTAGCCTGTCCCCTATGATGGGATTAGATTGTTCTCCAGTTTTAGTTATTCTCAGATAACATCTCCGAGCACGTTCCTGCCTACCTCTGAATGATTCTGCAGGCTAAATTCATAGAAGCATAATTGCTGCAGTTTTGAAATAGTCATTGTCAAATGGGGCTGGGCATGGTGGCTCACACCTGAAATCCCAGCACTTTGGGATACTAAGGAGGGTCACTTGAGGCCAGGACTTCAAGATTAGCCTTGGCAACATATTGAGACCCTGTCTCTACCAAAAAAAAAAAAAAAAAAAAAAAAAAAAGGACTAGGCATGGTGGTGCACACCTGTAGTCAGTCCCAACTACTCCAGAGGCTGAAGTGGGAGGACGGTTTGAGCCCAGGAGTTTGAGGCTGCAGAGAGCTATGATCGTGCCTCTGTGCTCCAGCAGCCTGGGCAACAGAGGAGGACCCTGTCTCTTTAAAAAAATTAAAACAGGGCCGGGCGCGGTGGCTCACGCCTGTAATCCCAGCACTTTGGGAGGCCGAGGCGGGTGGATCATGAGGTCAAGAGATCGAGACCATCCTGGTCAACATGGTGAAACCCCGTCTCTACTAAAAACACAAAAATTAGCTGAGCATGGTGGCGCGTGCTTGTAATCCCAGCTACTCAGGAGGCTGAGGCAGGAGAATTGCCTGAGCCCAGGAGGCGGAGGTTGCGGTGAGCCGAGATCGCGCCATTGCACTCCAGCCTGGGTAACAAGAGCGAAACTCCGTCTCAAAAAGAAAAAAAAAAAAAAAAAAAAAATTAAAACAATGTCAGATGACCCCAGAAAGAAGGTTCTTCCTGTTGTGTCCCTTTCCACCAGCTCCTGCTGAAGGTTTCAGTGGCGTCTGGCTTTCCCAGGTGGAGTAGGGAAATGGGACAGTTGCCAAGGCTTCTTCCAGCTCTGGGAGTTTAGGATTCTCTTGTCTTGAGATTCGTGGGCCCATGAAATAATGTCCAGGCAAGGCTAGGGCATGTTTTCTCACCGTGAAGTGGGTCCAATAGATCTTTTTCCTATGGGAATTTGCCTGTGACCTTTTCTGGAAGCTCTGCTTTTAAGGGATAGCCTTGAATTCAGTGCTCCCAACCCTCCCCTCTACACACCTCAGGCTGACCTTCGCCTTTCCCCTAACAGGCCAACAAGCTGGCGGAGAAGCGGAAAGCCCACGATGAGGCGGTGAAGTCTGAGAAGAAGGCCAAGAAGGCAAGGCCAGAGTGAGCGCTGGAGGCCCCTCGGGGCTGAGGCCAGCTCCTAGCAGCTGAGCGTGGCAGAGGCAGGCCAGAGGACCATAGTGTGATAGACCAGAGTCACTTCTTTTTCCAGCCAGCCCTGATCCCTCATGCTCTGTGGCTGGGCCAATGGGCAGCCCTGGCCTTCCCTTGGATGGAGCTGCCCTACTGGTGCCTGAGCAGAGAAGAGGCCTCTGCCCAGCCTGATTCTGTGCTCCCAGGAGCCAGTGACATGAGGTGCAGGGGCCCACCCAGCCCCTTACCTGCTGCCCCTATTCACCCTGGCTTTCCACAGCCCCCTGCTGCACAGTTGGACCCATGATTCTCAGGGTGCTGTGATGGAGTGAGGGTGGGAGGAGCAATTTGTTATTAAATGACTGGACTTTTGTATCAGTTGTATTCTGTGTCCATGAGCCTTTCTGGGGTTGGAGGAGGCCCTCCTAGCACTGTATGCTGCAGGCTGGGCCAACCTGGGTATTTACCAAGATGGACCTCACACGGCTCAGAGCTCTCTGGATGTCCAAGGACCCCTCCAGGTCCAGGGGATCCCAAAGGTAGGCACAGAGGTTCTGGGCCTGGGCTCTGCAGCCTGTCTGACCTTGGTTCACATTCTAGCCCAGGCACTTTCCTTCTGCACCTGCCTCCTCACATGTCAGTCCCCGGTAGAAATTCTGGTCTTTGAGCTGGACTCATTGGCTCACACCTGTAATCACAACACTTTGGGAGGCTGAGGTGGGTGGATCACCTGAGGTCTGGAGTTCGAGACCAGCCTGGCCAACATAGTGAAACCCCATCTCTACTAAAAATACAAAATTGGCCAAGTGTGCTGGTGCATGCCTGTAATCCCAGCTACTTGAGAGGCTGAGGCAGAACTGCTTGAACCCGGGAGACTGAGATTGCCATGAGCTGAGCAATTGCGCTCCAGCCTGGGCAACGAGCGACTCAAAAAGAAAAAAAGAAAAGAATTCTGGTCTTTCAGAGGGATGTGTTGAGGGATCTGTGAAAACTTTATAGACTTTGTAGACTCAGTAATGTCAGGTGTGTAGTAAGTACTTGGTAAACACCAACTGATTTTCATCACTTCCTGCTGGAGTTGGCCAAGAGGTAAAAGCCAGAGCCTGAGGGATCTGTGGGCCCGTGCCGAGGTCCTGCCCTCAGCTTGCCTTGTGCACCCATTGGCAGAACTGCTGAGTACCTCCCAGCGTAGGCTTCACCAGCAGCTCCACTTGTGATGTGTGAGGCCTACCTGACAGCTTCCTCGCTGACCTTGACAGTGAGCCTGCTGATGCCCAGGGGGACCTGCCCTAATCTGGAACTGCCAGTGCATCATGACAGAACCAGGACCACAACCTGGGGCTCTTGGTGGTCACTCAGCCCCTCCCAGGACAGACTCCCCAAGGTACCCCTGGGGGGGTGCAGCCAGGCTGAGGAAGTGTGGGTTTGGAATGGCTTTACTTTCTCTGAATCTATGCACCTTGCCCTCTGTCTCTCACTATTTGCTTACTGTGGGCAGAGAATGTTTTTGTGGCAGTGGCTATAGGTTCCACCAGTGCAGGGGGAAGGCAAGAGCTTGGGCAGACTCCAGCCTGAGTAGCAGAAAACCCAGGCCCCCCGCCTCAGCTGGGCCTGGCTATCGGTGGGAGGAGAGGGCTGTGTGCCATTCCCACTCCTGTCATGCACACCATGATGGGAGGGAGCAGGGTTGCCTCTAGAGGCAGGAACAGAGGGTCTGGAGCCAGAACCTGGAGCCCCAGGGGACAACTCAGGCCTGTCTGAGGTCCTGCGCATCCAGGGCTGAGACTGGGGTGCAGGCCTGTCGGATACGGAAAAATCCCTGGCAGCCATGCTGATGTGGAATTTTCCCCATTCCAGAATCGCCCAGTAATGGCGGGGGCAGCGGGGCTCTGACACGTCCCAGGCCCCACTGTGGCCAGCTGGTTCCTTACTGCCCACAGCTGGAGCTGAGGATTCCTGGCCCCTGGCAGGCATTGGTCTTCATCCGTGGTCTTGCTCCTCTGGGGCGAAGAAGGAAAGCCCAGGCTTGGAAAATGAGACAGGGCCTGGATGGGACACCTGCCTCCTGATGGCCCTACTCAGCCCTTAGGCACCCTAGAGAGTGACAGCTGAGACCTCCAGGTGGCAGGACCAGTGGGAGCTCAGCCTCTTGCTTGAGCTCCCCCCACTCCCATGAGTGCCAAAAATGTGTTGTCCTCAGTTGGCTCTGCCTAGAGCAAGAAGCCCTATGATCCACTGGATCCTAAGGGCCCCACGGCCCCCAACCAAAGTTAGGCAATGGTCCGGCTGCGCCTTTTTCCCAGGGCCCTGGCTCCCCTCCCCACCATCACCAAGCCTGGGCATCCTCGAGTCTCCTGGGCTGGGGGCTCCGTTGAGCCAGAGGGCTGGCGGCGGGACAATGGGCCCGTTGGCGCATCCGAGACAAACGGGCCTTGTTGGGCCGGCGGCGGGGGCGCAGCGATGCGCCCCAGAGCGCTGAATGCTGCTTCTGTGCGTCTCGGGCGGGCGCAGAGGGGCCGGGACCGGGCGGGGAGGGGGCCGGCCCGGGGCGGGGAGGGAGCCGGGGCCCGGGGCGTCCATTGGCCCCGGCGCCAGAGGCCGGGCCAGGCTGGCGGCCGCACCTGGCCGGGAGCGGGCGCGGTGCGGCGGCAGCGGCGGCGGGGGCGGGGGCATGGACCAGGCCTGGTGGAGCGGGGGGCCCGGGCGGGTGCGCCCCGCCGCCCAGTGAGCGCCCGGGCGGCGCGGCCCGGGCCGAGCCAGCCACGCTGAGGCGGAGGAGGACGGGGACAAGGTACGTCCCGGGCTCCAGCACGCACTGCCAGCTTGAGCCCTGCCTCAGTCTACTCCCTGGGGATACCGCCCACATTACCCGAACCCTCAGACTGGGACTTGTGCCGGAGGAGGGGAATAGGAGTGCAGCACGGCTGCTCCGGGCACTGGGTGCCCCTGCCCACTCCAGAAGGTGGCCCGGTGGGGGCCAGGGAGGGCGCAGATTGGTGCTCTCCCTGCCCTTGGTTTTTCCCCCAGCCCCCCAGCCCCTCTTCCAGGCTTCTCAGTCCCTGAAGGTGGGATGGGTGGGGCAGAAGGCAGGCTGCTGGGGCTGGGCTGGAGCTGCGAGTGGTTAATGATTAATCCTGGACCCAGTGGCCTGAGCCCTAGCGGAGGAGGGGCCGATATCTCCTCTGTCTCCATCGGCCCTCCCCAGGAAAGGGGTCAGAGCTGGAGCCGGAGACCACAGTAAGGGATGGATCCCCTCTGCTGGGGCAAGGCCCTGACCTGTACCCCAGAGGAAGCAAAGCCACCAACGAGAGGTTTGGGAGGGCGGGACAAACCCTGGCATCCAGGACGGGTCCTATAGGAAATCCCACAGTTCCTCTTTCCTAGGCCAGTGCCCAGGAAGGGGGTCCAGCTTGGTCTGCCCCCTCAGTGCCAGGCCAGCATTTTGGTACCAGCACAGAGCACACTACAGACTGAGCCCTTCCCAGTGGGAACTGCCCCACCCAGAGAGGTGACACCATGGCCCGTCTGGCCGCTGTAACCCACACCAGGAGGAGGGAAAGGGAGAGAGGCAGCAGGCCTGACACCTGATCCCCCCGCTGGGCTTCCTCGATGACAGGTGGAAGGTGCCATGAGAATCCTCCAGAGGAGGCGTCCCCAAACTACGGGCCGGGCCGCATGCGGCCCCCTGAGGCCATTTATCCGGCCCCCCCGCCCCGCCACACTTCAGGAAGGGGCACCTCTATTGGTGGTCAGTGAGAGGAGCACAGTATGTGGCGGCCCTCCAACGGTCTGAGGGACAGTGAACTGGCCCCCTGTGTAAAAAGTTTGGGGACGCCTGCTCCAGAGGGAAGAGAGGTGTGGAGGACTGTCCATTTCAGTTGGGAAAATCCAACCTCTTCCTTTACTGACAGGATGACCTGAGGCCCAGAGAGGGTGAGGCTTGTCCAGGGTCACACAGTGGGCACAGGAAGGCAGGCCTGGGCCAGAGCAGCGACTGTGCACACTGTTCCTTGTCTTGTGAAGGAGGCATTGCTACCTATCCCTGTTATCCAGAGGGGGATACTGAGGCTCAGGGAGATTCAGTGACTTGTCCAAGGTCACATGGCTCAGAGGTAGCTGAGCTGACGCCAAATCATAGGAGTCTTGCCCTGGCCACCATCTCAGGACCCCAGCCCAACCCATGACCTCTTTCTGCTCTGGGGTCCTGCCCTCTTGGATCTGCCTGGGCCGCCCCAAACCCTCAGCTCTGGACCCCTCCCCCTCGCCTCCCTGGCTCCCAGCTCCGCCTGACACTTCAGCGGGTGGGCAGGCTGCTACCCCGGGAGCAGAGACAACAAAGCCCTGTTCCCAGCTGCCACCTCGGCCTGCTTCATTCCCTGCTTGCTCAGCCAGAGCCCTTCCTGGAGGAAGCTCCCTGCAGACAGAGAATGCCTGCTACTCATGTATCCCCTTCCCTTAATGGGTCTGAGGCCCTCGTGTCACCCAGCAAGGGAGGAGTGTGTCCCCCACAGCCCCTCCCACCAGGTTCTGAGGGACTAGGTGTGCCACCCAGTGAAAGAGGCAATGATTAACCTGGGAGAATGATGAAGAAATGGAATTCTGGGCCCAGCTGCGGCTTGTGGAGGGCTCCTTGCTTCACTTTGACTGGATGAGCCCTGTTAGGGGCTCCACACGACTCCAAACAGGGCAGAGCAGGATGGAGCCCAGGTGCCCATAGGGGTCATCAGGCTGGGGACTGCTGGAACCACCAGGTGAGGGGCAATCTTGGGAGGAAGTGGGGGCCCAGGAGATGCCTGCCTTCCCACCTGAGTTCCGCGGCCTGGGATGGGGATGGCGGCCTCCTAGAAGTCTGCACAGACAGAGCCTGCTTCCCCTACCAGGTGGGATGCAGGAGGATAACAGTATGATTGATCAGAGGAGCTGACGCCGAGTGTGTGCAGGGTTCTGCGTGCCTCACAGCAGGCCTGTGACGGTGTCAAAGTACCTGCCATTTTTTCGGAAACTGAGGCTCAGAGAGGGAAAGTCACTTGCCCAAGGTCACCCAACTGGTCGGGGGGCAGAGTTACCAGGAGAGTTTCCAGGAGTGAGTGGAGAGGCGGGTGTACGTATCTCCAGCATTTTTGCAGTTGCAATATTGTGCATTGCAAGTGTCAGTACCTTTTCACAAACCCTTATATTGTTACATAGTTTTATGCAAACAAGTGCATAACAATCCTTAAAAAATATTTCAGGCATGTTATAAGGTACAGAGACTGATATTATCAACTCCTACATACTCAACTCGGGTTCTCCGCATTTTTGGAGCTAATGACGAAGTGACTGACTGCTTGGTGAAGCTGTGACTTGCAGCTAGCTCCCCAGTTAGAGCTTCTTACAGGCTTCTCAAATCTGCCATCAGGAAGCAGGGTGATTTACCCAGACAAGGCAGTAGAACAGGAAGAGCTGTGGTCTTTCTCCTCCTTTTGGCTTTGTGGTGTAGGCGCTCTACAAGTGACTGAGCCCGAATTTCCCCACACATCACATGGGGCTAGGAGGGGAGACTGCCAAGGTGTCTGTCAAGGTCACAGGCCTGGCTGCCCTTTGAAACAGCAGAGAGAGACCCTGCACAATCAAAAAAACATCACTCTCTCTCAGCTGCTACTACCTGTATCCACGTGGGCAGCCTAGGGGACAGCAGGGGCCAGATGTCAGGGCTGACACTTTGGGAGTGGTCCTCTGAGCCAGCGAGTTGGGATCCAGCTGAAATGCCCCAGTGAGTGGTCTTCCGCCTCTCTGCTCCAGCATCCCATTCTAGAGGGGCTCAGATTGAGGAAGCTTCTGGATGCTTGCAAGTCACTTCCCCAGTACCCTCGGATGGAGGGCTAACCTATCCCATCTGCCCCTTCCGCTGTGCCACCCACACTTCCCAGCTCCTTCTCAGTCCCAGATGCCTGTTGCCCCTTCCCCACTTGGTGCACTGAGGTTCAGAGAGGGCAGTGTATCTGCCTCGGCCACACAGTGAGGAGAGCTGGGGCTCAGATGAGCCGATTTTTCCTCTTCCTCCAGCCCAGGCTGCAGATTTTCAAAGTGGAAATATCTTTATTTATTTTTCCAAAGTAATATAAGCTCTTTTGTAAAGTGTGTGTGTGTTTGTGTGTGTGTGTGAGATCACAGAATCAAAATATGTTCCAGAAAGTAAATGGCTTTACTCCCCAGGAAATTGTAATTTATAATTGAGTATTTTTTCAGACCCTTACACTCATGCACGAATGTACAAATTTTCTCCACATGAATAAGTTTATTCTGTACACAGTGCATTCCAGGCTTAATATTAGGCAACTCTTTTTTTTTTTTTTTTTTTTTGAGACAGAATTTTGCTCTTGTTGCCCAGGCTGGAGTGCAATG